AATGTCCATCCTGAGACTGTGGATCTCAGTTCCGTGTTTACTGTGAGACGGTCACAACATCTGGAAGACAACGACTGCAACTGTTGCATCTTTGTATTTATTACTTGATGTAATAAAGCTTATTTTCATTAAAAAAAAAAAACAAAAAAAAACAAAAAAAACGTTCTATTATTAATTGCACAGATTCTTCCCATGATCCTGTAGGTTAGTACACAAAAATCTCCATTTTCTCTTCTTAAAATTCTGTACTGATTTAAAGCCCCATCCTTAATTAATCCTCCTTGTATCTGCTGGGGAGCCTCAATCATGGTCCTTCACCATGCAGCACACAGCAGAGTGAGCCCTGTACCCCACCTGTAGCACACCGGGCTGGTCCAGTTGTCAGGGGCACAGGTGAGCCGGCCTTGAGAGCATGAGAGCTACAGAGCTTATCCTGCCCATCCCTGGCCCATGCTGCTGCAGGGGCCATGGTATCATCTGGACCAGGGCTGTGGCTGAGGGCCAAGTCTGAGTCGATGGCCCTGCCACACCCAGGGACTGTGTTAATGTCTGTACCTTTTGAGACCATCGAAAACAGAGTCAACGTCAGGGTTCGGGTTGTCACCTGAGGCCATGTTGATTTCTGAGGGCCATACTGCCACACAGGGGTGGGGTGGGGGTGCATACTGATGATCTGAGTGACCTGCACAACAACCTGGGACCATGGAGACATCTGGGCCAGGGCTGCTACCAAGGGCCATGTCTGGGTCTGTGGCCCTGGAACAGCCATGGACTGAGTTGATGTCTGTGACTGCTGTTACCAAAAGGGCTCAGCAGATGCCCAGGGTCTGAGACTCATGCTACCATTAGGGCTACACTGACCTGGGTGCTCTGTGTTGCCACTGGGCCATGATGACGTCTGGGCCTGAGCTGCTGCCCAGGGCTGTATCTGAGTCCACGGTCTTCCTGCAGTTGGGGTCTGTGATGAAGTCCACGGCCCATGTTAGCACAGGTGCTCACTGGAGCCATGCTGTGTTGAGCCAGTCCCACCCACCGTCCCTGGTTGGTCCCACCCTCACTGGATACTGCATCTGGAGAGCTGGCCTTATCCCCTCAGGGGAGAGTTCGCCCCTGCACTTGGGAAAGATGGTCCCACCCCTCCCCACAGGCATGCACCTCACCTGGGCAGCACAGTAGATCTTACTGGGGATGCAGGTAAGAAGGCCCTGAGGGTGAGAGAGCAGTAGAGCCGACCCCGACCTCCTCTTCTGCCAGGTGGTGGCATGAGTGACCAAAATATGTCCTCCTGCCCCCACTCATTACCTCCTGTGACAGGGGAGAGCTGGCTCTGGGGTCATGAGAGTGAGATGACTAGCCCCGCCCCTCATCAGCGGCAGCACAGAGGAGCACGCCCAGCTCTATACCCCACATGGGCAGCAGTCAGCTGACTCTGTTGCCAGGGGCACAAGCGAGCCAACCTTGAGGGCATGAGTTCTGAAGAGCTGATTCTCCCCCTCCTCCCACCGTATGCCCTTTACAGCAACTGGGAGGGAGGGCCCTGGACCTTGCCCGGGCAACCCTATAGGGCCCTGGTGATGTGTGGGTGACCCAGATCTGAGGACCTGAGAGCAGAACTGACCCAGCTCCGAGCTGCAGGCGGCACTGGGTAAGCTGGTGGAGGCACTGCTGGAGAGATCACCTGGGCAGTGACCATGAGGGAGCGAACACTTGCAAGACAAGAAGAATGGACGAAAGGGTAAACTATGACTCAACGGACCACACTACAGACAGCTTCCATGACAAGGTTCTTCTCCTTTGTTTTCTTTTTTTTTTTTTAATTTGTCTGATTTGAGGGGGAGGCCAGATGGGAGGAGATGGGGAAATAAGTGGGATCAGAATGATTCCACAAAGAATCAATAAAAGAAAATATTCAATCTCTTAAAAAAGTACAAGTCTTTCATCTGTGGCCTCCTTTAAAAGTCAAAATTAAATTAAATACGTTCTTCAAGAGAGAAAAACCAAGACACCCGCCCAATGTGAAGACAGCAAAACCAAAGTCCAACAGTATAAATAACTCAATTAATTATCTGAGAGTCACTCACTATCTTGTGGACTCCTCCAAAGGGTTTGGGTTCCTTACCCGGTCTGCCCTCTGCAGTCCACACAGTTCATCTTCCACACTCTGGCTGACTCCACCCCTCTGCAGCTACTGTTCTTGGTGCTCTTCTCATGGTATTGGCATCTCCAAAATGCTGGGGTCCCTTGCGGCAACTGGGCTGCACTTTCACCGATTACCTCTCACTGGCTCTCGTCATGATGCCGAGCCTCAATTTCTTCGCATGACTCCTTCAGTCCTGGGCCTTCAAATGCTACTGAAGCTGCACCTTCACCAATGGCCTCTTCTTGTCACAGTGCCAAGTCACAACTAGGCTCTATTATCCCTTCATAGCTGCAAAACTACTATCACCTTGGTGATGCTTACACATTACCAGGTCCTGCTGCCAACACAAGGTACAGCTACGGCCGGCCGTCTCTGGAACACAGCTTTTCTCTGCTGTCAGAAAAAAAACTTCCCATTAGATTTTACCAGTGACGCTGGTCTCTTCTTAATCACTTCAGCTAACAGCATCAATTGTCCTAGTAACAAAGAGAGTTCACTTTAGTGCTTCTGCTACCTTGTTAATCACAGCTGATACTTTCAGCCCCGGCTAACCAGAACCACAGAATCTTAATTCAAAATAACAAATGGCCCTGGCAGCCTTTAAACTTCCCTCTGGAACTCCCCAAGCTGGCTTCCATTCTCCATGGTGCTCTCAACATTCTTACCTTCCAGATTTTCACAGAACATCCCACCGAGCTCTTAACACTCAATGAGATGGCTCTTCTAGCCCAAAGCTGCAGAGTCTTTCCAGAACCCTCCCCCAAATCAGAGTGATGCCCCACTGTGCTGGCACCAACATGTCTTAGCGAGGGTTTCTATGGCTACGACAAAACACCGTGACAAAAAAGCAGGTGGGCGAAGAAAATGTTTATTTGGCCCACTCTCCCTCATTGCTGATCACCACTGAAGGAAGTCAGGACAGGATCCACAGGCAGGAGTTGATGCAGAGTCCACAAAGATGTGTTGCTTATTGGCTTGCTTCTCCTGGCTTGCTCAGCCTGGTTTCTTATAGAACTCAGGACCACTAGCCTAGGGATGGTATCACCCACCATGGGGTGTGTCCTCCCCCATTGGTCACTAATTGAGAAAATGCCTTAGAGCTGGATCTCATGGAGGTATTTCCTCAACTGTGGTTCCTTCCTTTCTGATGATTCTAGTTTATATCAAGTTGACCCACAAAGCCACGCAGTACAAGCCCTATATGTGGTTCTTTGTGCTTGAATTTAACTAGGCCTGCACCTACAGTGAAGTCTTGTCCCCCCCCCCCACCTTTGGGCCATGAGTTTGGAATGTACAGAACAAGCTTAAGGCTTAAAGACACTACTTAATAGAATAGGGACAGGTGAATACTGGGTTTGAGAAAAGGGAGCTAATGCACCGAAAATGATAGAGAATGTTGTCCTACAATGCAATGGCATCCCTAGATCGAAGAGGTCAATTTAGAGCTCAATACTAATGTTAATGATTTTGTTCAACTTGGTTTTTTTTTGTTGTTGTTTTTGTTTATATTTTACTAAGTTCTTTCACTTACTTTCCTTTTTCTTTCCTTCTCTTCTTCCCTTCCTCCTTCCTTCCTTATTGTTTGGTGGGAACATCCAGCTCACTCACTGAGCTACTGCTTGAGCCAGAAAGCCCCATTCCTGTCTGTCAAAACCCCACTGACTCAGAGACTCTCTGAAGAAAGAGAAGGCAACAAGAAGCCCAGTTCTACATTCTTCAGGGATAAGGCAGCTCCTCCCCTGAAGTTGCCAGCTGCCCAAGGCCCCCACTAAAGAATTCCGTTTTTGATCATACTTGGGCATAAACCCAGCTTGTGGCAGACACACATCACCCATGCCTACAACCTATAGAACCTCCCTGCTTTAGTTCTGGAATGTGACTTCTGCCTCAATCTCCTGCCTCAGGCTGGAGAACTCACCCAAGAGTTGCTCTGCTCAAATAACCATGTTCTTTTACTTTTTAATTCGGCTTGATCTGGATTATTGTGTCAGTGGGGAAACCCATTTATGGGGTACAGAAAATCTATTATTTTCTTTTTATTTATTTCGGTTTTTCTAAACAGGATTTCTTTTGTGTATTACTGGCTGCCCCTACAACTAGTTCTCTGGAACAGGCTAGCTTCCAATTTATTGATTATCTTGCTTTTGTCTCAGGAATCAATGATTAAAAGCAGCTGCCACCATGCCTGGCTTCTGAAATTGGTTTTGAGTCAGGGTCTCATCGTGTAGCCATGAGTGGCTTTCAAATCACAATTCACCTTTCTTGGGAGTGCAGAAATTATGGGCTTGCACCTGTACTTTCCTGCAATGTTTTGACATTATAGGCTGGCGCATGGTATGGTTACAGTTGGCCAATCAAGGACCATACTACTAAAAGGAACGAACTTTCCGGCCAAGAGCATGAATGGTCATAGTGCGCTTCCCCTGCAGACATTTCCTTCTTTCTCTCTTCCTTCCTTTCTTCCTTCCTTCCTTCCTTCCTTCCTTCCTTCCTTCCTTTCTTTCTTCTTTCTTTTTCTCTTTCTTTCTTTCTTTCTTTCTTTCCTTCTTTCTCTCTCTCTCTCTGTCTGTCTCTGTCTCTCTCTCTCTCTTTCTTTCAGCTTTGTTTAGCAAACAGTCACCCCAGGACCTCTTCTGGGGGACACCTAGACACATCACAAGGACAAAATGGTGAATGTGCCTTGAGCTGCTAGGAACCAGGGGGCCAGTTTGGGACACTAGCTGAAGTTTGTAATGGCCTGTGAAGTACACTGGAAGTTGGCCTGTGGCACAGCAATGCCTTTGCCCATGTACACTTATCCTGCAGGCAACCTGTAGTTCTGACATCCCCCACACAACATGCATCCTGTGGCAGCTTGGCCCTCAGATACCAATAGGGGCCCAGATCACAGGGCCATGAGCAGTATCCAACAGTGACAGGAGCCATGGTTGTCAGCACATGCTCCCTTGGCTGTCCCAGGGCCCGGGACCAAGACCTGAGCCTTATTCACAGCCAATGTCCATCAGCAGGTCATTTATGACAGCCCCTTCCTCAACACTCACCTCTCCAGATGCACCTCTCTCCCCAGCCCACCATCCACTCTGCCTCTCCTTCTCTTCCACTTCCCCACCATACCCTCTCTCACAATGATACCCAAACACCCTACCCTGGGGTTCTAGGCAGGGTCTCAAGTGGTGCTTGATTGAGTCCTGACTGCCCAAGCCACTAAGCATGGTGCAGAGCTATTGCTTTTCCTCTCTCCCATGCCCAGGCCTAGAAACCTCAGTCAGCACTTGGTAGGATGCCCGACCAGAGGCAGTGGGCAGCTTCCTATGTGATGTGTTCTGCCTAGACCAAGAAGTTTAGGGGGAGCCATCTTTGTCTTCCACCAACTCAAGTCTTGCCAGGGACCATGAGAAGCAAATGGCAACTAGTGTTCAGATGTCAACCCACCAGAGACATGGTTACTGATGGAGGATTAATCCTGTCCAGAAAAAATACTGAACCATCTTTCTATCCCTTATTCACACTGTCCATATAACAGAAGTAAAGAGTAAAATTGACAAATATCTTATTCAGGAGTCTAATAAATTTGGTCTCTAAACATAACCATCGAAGATGTTCTTCATATGAAAATGTTTTGATTAATCTTAGTCATGTTTTGAGAGACTGTCCTTCTAGCTAAGTAATTTCCCTCCTGGGGATTTCCAAAGTGCCCCCATGAAAATGATAATCACAGCTTGACTTGTTGATCACTTAATCTCCACATGGGGGGGATGGAGGAAGGCATGAAATTCTCAACCATTATGGGTCATCCCAGAGAGGAATGTTTGCTGAGAAAGTCTGTTTCCCAAGATAACCTGTCTCCCTTGGACAAATAATTTCAGTAAGGAAGATGATCCAACTTCCTCGTTCCCATGCCCCTTCTATAAAGGTTCAGGTGACTTTCTCCCATTGCACAGCTTCCCTACACAGCAAGAATTTAGGTGCCACTTGCTATGTATCCTAATGACCAGTGTCCTCTGTTTGAAGTCAAACTCTGACCTCCTTCCAGCCTTCTGTCCCCTGCACCCTAAAATCTAGCAAATTGAAAACAGTAATTTTTTTGGGCTCCAAAGAAGTCCATCCTGTAAAATGATTAATTCCTGATTAAATATTCCTTCATACAATTTCCACTACTTGGAGAGGCCTAGAGCAAAACAAACAACAATGCAATCCCAAGTCAAAGCACAAGCCCGAGAGAGCTTTTCAAAAAGTCCCATTTTTGCCTCAGAAATGGTTAGTGCAAAAGAAAATTCTAATTTAAAGTTTGCCAAGTGCTGTTGGTTGCAAGAGGTCATGGGAATATACAGCAATGACAACTAGTGTTTAACAAGCTGACCTACCTGAAAAGCCACACTTGGCAAAGCCATAGATAGGGTTGATTGTAAATGATTGGTTGTTTTCTGTCAATAACTTTCTCGGGTACCACTAGTATACCTCCTTAATAAGAACAGTTGTGGGGTTCTTTCCACAGCCCTTTGATGGTATGTTTTACACTTATAGGGTACACATATAGCTGTGGATGGTCGGGAGGATGATTTCTGCTTAATCTATATAATTTTGATGAACAGAAATAATAGTAGGATATTTTACATTACTCAGATTGACAGAGGATTCTCAGTCACAAAGACAGCCTTTTACACAAACAGCTGTTTGGACTTTAAAGTAGATTCAAAGGAAGCTGGTTGCCCTTAGAGATGAATATTTGGTTGCTCCTAGAGACAAATACATGAGGTCATTTTCCCAGCTGTTTTGCTGATTAAAGGTCAGGATAGAAGCAACTTTATTAGAGATAACTGTCTCAGTAATTGATTTTCTGCACATAGTCCCAGTCTCAGGCTCACAGTTCAGCCAATTGTTTACCATCCGGGAACCCTCACCAACTTAGAGCTACATGCATGGGTCAATGCACCATCACTAGCCTAAGAGAAATGATGTGACTTATTTTGTATTGGGAGAATGGGCCGGGCCCTGAAAATGTAAGTTATCACTGTCCTGAGTGTGGCTGTGAGAGGAACAGCGGTGAGAGATGGCTGTGCGGAGCTCCGTGAGAGCTGCTGCAGAAGTGAGCCAAGTGTGTTTATGTGCGGACCTCATGAGAGATGAAGAAGCAGAAGTGTGAGGGAGAGCGGGAAGTGGGAAAAGTGGAGAAGTATGTGTGAGAGAGAGCTATGGAAAAAGCCGCTGCTACATAAGAAACCACGTGAAGAGCTGTGTGAGAGAGTATGGAGGAACTGTGCGAAGCGCTGTATGGTGAGAGAGCTGTGTAAATGAGCCATGTAAATGAGATGTACAGCCGTGTAAATGAGCTATGTAAATGAGGTGTACAACAGTGTAAATGAGGTGTACAGCAGTGTAAATGAGGTGTACAGCCATGTAAATGAGCTATGTAAATGAAGTGTATAGCTATGGCTGGGTGGAGATTTGTCTATGTGTGAAGACAAGGAAGAGGAAGCTGTACGAAAAGAGATGTAACAGAGAAATGTATGTATAGACAGATGTGTAGCCATGTGAAAATAGGTATGTATAGCCGTGTAGGAGAGAGATGTATATATGTAAAGAGAGACGTATATTAGTATATGGAGATATGCAGCTTTGGCAGACAGAATGAGTCAGAGAGCATTTTTAAGACTCGTTAAAAGAGAAAGTTACTGGAGAGATGGCTCAGCGGTTAAGAGCATTGCCTGCTCTTCCAAAGGTCCTGAGTTCAATTCCCAGCAACCACATGGTGGCTCACAACCATCTGGAATGAGGTCTGGTGCCCTCTTCTGGCCTGCAGATATACACACAGACAGAATATTGTATACATAATAAATAAATAAATAAATAAATAAATAAATAAATAAATAAATGTTTTAAAAAAAGCTAAAAAAAAAAAGAGAGAGAAAGTTACATTCTGAAAGTGTGGTCCCTTATTTTCCCCCTTAGATAGAAAAATTCTAGCTCTCCAATAGATAGAAACTTATTTCTAAAGATAAGAATATTCCTAATCCCTCACTACTCTGGGGCATTTTTTTTTTTGTTACCCTGCAGCTGGCCTCCCCTGATCTGTTGAAAATTCTCTCCTTCTGTGATGAGGAATTTTGGCCCACTCTCACAAAGGGAACAATCCAATCCTCTCATATCATCATTTTAAAAACATCATCATGTTTTAACTAAACACACATACAATGAGGAGTTTTTTTTCCTGGGGAATATAACCTAATACCAAAGCTTCAGACACCCTCCACAATCTTCCACACCAATCTGGACTCAGTCCCACCAACGTGGTAGCTCTCCAAGTTCTGATGAGGTGCAAGTTCCACGTGCCTTTTCACCACAGCAAGAACGTGGCCTGGGACAGAGTTGTTTGCCAGGACAGTACAGGGTGGGGGACCTTGTGCAGCACAGCTCTGGCTTTGTGCTCTGGACGGTGCTCTGGAAAGGAGAAAAGCAACACGCTACCCTCTAGGGTAGTCCTGTTGACAGAGTGCCAGGGGAACGTCAAAGCTGCAGAGGCACAGTCTCTGCTGTCCCAGAAAACAACTTAAAATGCCAGGAGCTCTGGATACACTCACTCTTTCCTGCCTCTAGTGGACCAAGGTGTCCTGTGGGACTAAAGTCAGCAGAAATGAATGTCGGATGGGACCAACACAATACATCTCTCAGCTTCTACACTGGGTTCAAACCCAGCTACAGTGGTGAGGCTTTCTGAATACCCATGCACCTCGGTGGACATTTGATGAAAGGAAGTAAAAGAATCCCTGATTGATGAAAAAGACATATGGCTTGGATATTCCTGATTGAAGATCCTGAGGCCAAAATCAATGCAGTTGGGGTAGAAGGAATTCTGAATTCTTTCCAGATCCAGGAATGAAGAGGAGGGTCTGCTATGCAAACACAATAATCTGGAATGGGACCTTTTCACACCTTATACTTAAACCTATCCATCTCCTTGTTCGGCTGTGTGTTTTGGTTTTTTGAATCATAGTCTCTCTATTATGGAGCTGGACTAGCCTAAAACACACAATGTAGTCTAGGCTAACTTGGCGTTCAAATCACCTACTTCTGCCTCCAAAGCACCGGGATAAAAGGCTTCATCTACCATGTCCTACTCAACCATTGTATACAAAGAAAATTAGAATACCAACAAGAGAATACAACTACTAAATGCACAGAAAAATGAAATTACATGGCAGCAATACTCAACAAATTATTCAAGAGTTATAAAGTGGATACTAGATCTCAAGCAAAGTATAGCCAGACTATAATACGCAGCTCCAGAGAGGCTAGGTAACAAGGAGGACCAAAGAGGAATGCACAGACCACCCTGGGAAGGGAAATTAGATGAGGTCTCCTGGGTAAACTGGGGGCGAGGTGGGGCAGTAAAGGGGAGAGGATGGGGGATGAGAACATGAGGTAAGGATGGTCGAGATCTGGAGAAAGAGTGGGAGAGCATTGAAAGAGATATTTTTATAGAGAGAGCCATAATGGGGTTAGGGAGAAACCTGGTACTAGGGAAATTCCCAGGAATCCATAAGGATGACTCCAGCAATAGTTGAGAGGGTGCCTGAACTGGTCTCTCCCTGTGATCAGATTGATTAATATCTGAAGAGTCATCACAGAACCTTCATCTAGTAATTGAGGGAACCAGGTGCAGAGACCCACAACCAACTATCAGGCCAAGGAGGGAATATATGAGCAAGGGAGGTCAAGATCATGAAGATCTGCAGAGACAACAGAACCAACCTTGTGGAAACTCACGAACCCTAGATTGACAGCTGTGGAGCCTACATGGGACCAAACTAAGCCCTCTGCATGTGGGAGACAGTTGTGTAGCTTGCTGTGAGGGTCCCCCAGGAGTGGGGCCAGGATCTATCCCTGGTACATGATCTTTCTAGCTTGTTGGAGCCCATTCCCTATTGTAAAAGGCCATGCTCAGCCTTAATGCAGGGGGAAAGGTTTGATTCTGCCCAACTTAATGTGCCAGACTCTGTTGATTCCCCATGGGAGGCTTTACCCTTTGGGAGAAGTGAATGGAGGTTGGGCTGGCAGGGGGGAGGGGGAGACAAGGGGCAGGTAGGAAGAGGGGTGGGAGGGAGAACTGTGGTTATAATGTAAAATGAAATTAATAAAAATAAAAAGATAAATGTCCAGACACTTTCTAGATGTACTTGGAACCAAAATAAAAGAAATTCTTCTCTCACACCATAGAGATGAAGAAATTTTTGGCCCCCAAATAGGAGTGATGTCTACATACACAAGAAAAACTCATTCACAAGCCTCAAGATGGAACTGACAAAGAGGTCCTTACCTAGTGATGAGGTAGGGACACCTAAGAATTTAACTCCGGTAGCTCGCCATGCCTGCTATTGCTTCTGCTGTAAATAAAGTTATTTCAACACCTTTATATTCACCAGAGGGACAATACTATCTACACATGCATAAAGGTACAATAAGTGAGGTGACCTGAGTCTGCAGGGCAGGCGAATCTTCCAGGCTCTGGTGTCTTTAGCTCTTGTATCTTTCCTGCAATCTACACAATCTTGTGTAGACTTGTACGTACACAAGAGGGAGCTATGGAGCAGCCTGAAATGCAAGCCGTATCTCAACAGTGAAAGGGGGCAGGAAAGGGGGAAAGGTGCTCAAGGGAAGGTGTCATGGGCCATTAACTTAGCATCAATCTCCAAGATCTAACTGGGTGGTTGTAAGAGTGCTCACTTGGGTGAATAAAACTCCTGTGCATCAAAACTCCCATTCTCTCAGCTGCCACTGCCTTTTATATGTTGATCCCGAGGACCTCCTGAAGTTTCTAACTTTTTTTTGTTTTCATTAGCTATTTTATTTTATTTATCATTTTATTTATTTATTTATTAAAGATTTCTGTCTCTTCCCCACCGCCGCCTCCCATTTCCCTCCCCCTCTCCCAATCAAGTCCCCCTCCCTCATCAGCCCAAAGAGCAATCAGGGTTCCCTGCCCTGTGGGAAGTCCAAGGAGTTTCTAACTTTTGTCTGTCTCAATTCCCCTGTGGTTCTACAAAAACTTATGAGGCTGCAGAAGGATTATGAAAAACTATTTCCTTACTTATGGCTAAAATAGTATAGAACTACAAGAAACTGTCAAAATAAATAAAAGCATCAGTAAAAACTGAAAAAGAAAACTCCAAATCTTTGCTTGAAGAATACTGAGAAGTACGAAGTACAAGATTTCCATGAATGTAGTTGATGATGAGACGGTGACTGTGGAAAGGTTAAAGCACTTACTGCTCCTCCAAAGTACTGAAGTTTGAACCCTAGTACTGAGCTCACTCACCTCACAACTGCTTCTAATTTGAGTTCCTGGGGATCCTACACCCTTTTCTGACTCCAGGTTCTTACATGCATGGGCACACAAACAAAATAGACTGACAAAAACTATAAACTTTAGGGAAAAAAAAGTCTACATAAATGATAACCAGAAAATGCTTAGTCACGTAAGTCTAATTACCAAGAAGGCTTTTCTACCATATGTATGTGTGTGTATGTGATATATATATATGATATATATATATATATATATATATATCAACTGTTCAATATGACAACTCTTACAAGTTAAATTACTAGGGCAGAAAAAGGATTTTTCACAATGCTTACATGCATAAGTCTTCATTCTTGAGTGAATTCTTTCATGGCTGGAATGATCATAAAGTTGACGGAACAGTTTCTTCATGCATTACATGGAAACAGTTTCTCTCCGGTGTGAATTCTTTCATGAGTAATATGGTAAGAGGGACTGGTGAAGGATTTTCCACGGGTTTTACATGCATAAAGCTTCTCTCCAGTGTGAATTCTTTCATGAGAGTTGCACCAACTGAATTTGGCAAATGTTCTCTACAATGTTTACATGTTTAAGGTTTCTTTCCAGTATGAGCTCTTTCATGCTTGTTACGATAGCCAGAACTGGTGAAGGCTTTTCCACAATGTTTACACGTGTAAGGCTTCTCTCCAGTGTGAATTTTTTCATGACTGTTACGAGAACTCAAAATGGCAAAGGTTTTGCCACAGTGCTTACATGCATAAGGTTTCTCTCCAGTGTGACCCCTTTCATGAGCACTACACCAAATAGAACTGATAAAGGCTTTTCCACAATGCTTACACACATAAGGCTTCTCTCCAGTATGAAGTTTTTCATGAGTGTTACGGGAACTCAAAATGGCAAAAGTCTTGCCACAGTGCTTACATGCGTAAGGCTGCTCTCCAGTGTGAATTCTTTCATGAATGTTACGATAACTGGCTTGGGAGAAGGCTTTTCCACAGTGCTTACATGCGTAAGGCTTTTCTCCAGTGTGACTTCTTTCATGAGTGATAAGAGAACCCAAAATGACGAATGTTTTGCCACAGTACTTACATGCATAAGGTTTCTCTCCAGTGTGAATTCTTTCATGAACGTTCCGATAACTGCAATTGTTGAAAGATTTTCCACAGTGTTTACATGTGTAAGGCTTCTCTCCAGTGTGACTTCTTTCGTGAGTGATACACCCAGTCAAACTGGCAAAGGTTTTGCCACAATGCTTACATGCGTAAGGTTTCTCTCCAGTGTGAATTCTTTCATGAATGCTACAAGAAGTGGGACTAAGGAAGCTTTTTCCACAAAGTTTACATGCATAAATCTTCTCTCCAGTGTGAATTTTCTCATGACAGTTACGAGACCTCAAAATGGCAAAGGTTTTGCCACAGTGCTTACATGCGTAAGGTTTCTCTCCAGTGTGAATTCTTTCATGAATGCTGCAATAACTGGAACTTCTGAAGGCTTTTCCACAGTGCTTACACATGTAAGGCTTCTCTCCGTTGTGACCCCTCTCATGAGTGTTGCACCAGCTAGAACTGGTGAAGGCTTTTCCACACTGCTTACATGCATAAGGCTTCTCTCCAGTGTGAGTTACTTTATGTTTCTCAAAACACGAAGCATACTTAAATGTTTTCCCACATTGTTTACAAGTGTATTTTTTCTCTCCAATATGACTTTTTTCAGGGGTGATAAGGTCACTGGAATCAATGAAGGCTTCTTCACTGTGGTTATGAGCAAACGATTTCACTTCTGTATGGATTCCATTATCTTCTGCACTACATGTATATCTCCTTAATATTTTCCCATTGAGTTTATCTCCACATTGTGTTCTCTTGTGAGGCTGATCAGAAGGGAGATTCCGACAGGCTTCCTTACACTGTTGATTCTTATAAGATTTCTCTCTGGGAAAAGTTCCAAGTACCTGGAGTGATTCAGAATGACTGGTATTTTCCCAATGTTTCTGATGTATAAAGGACTCCTTACAGTGAGATTGTTTCCCTTTAGCTTGGTTTCTGAGATATACAGGTGAGAATGAATGACCAATGATGCTTCTTACATGCAACTGGCTTTCATATCCTGTTATTGCAGGAGGCATGTCTTCATTAATCATATTCTTTAGAATTGGCTGAAGGTTGTCATCACACTGAATATTATATTCATATCCACAATCTTTCTCAATCAACTGAGTTCTGCAAGAAACGAGAAGATGATTACTATAAAAAAAAAGGGAAACACTGAAGGCTAGTTCATGTGGTCTGCTACAACTTTACTATTAGAGAGGTTGTAGCATAATACCTCCAATGTTGAGGACAGTGTAACCATTTGTGAAATCCATTATCTGCAAAGAAACAGAGTGTTGACTATGGAGGTAGCAGGATGGTGGTGGTGGTGGTGCACACCTTTAATCAAGCACTAAGGAGGCAGAGGTGGACAGAATTCTGTGAGTTCAGTACCAGCCTGATCTACAGAGCTAATTCCAGGACTGCTAGGGCTAAAAAAGAGGAACCCTGTCTCAAAAAGCCAAAACCAAAAACTAAAACCAAACAAGCACATGCAGGAGCTGTATCATAGTTTTGGAGGTTAAGAGCAATTCTTGCTCTTCCAATAGACCAGGGTTTTATGACCAGCATTTATGTAGAGAACTCACAAATTCCTGTTAGTCTTGAGTTGAAGGATCTATTGGGGTTTTCTGGTGGCCACAAATCTTTGTACCATAAGAAGTATACAACGTATACATATGCATACATATAACATAACTAATGGATAAAAATGGAGTAAACATCCAGTCATGGGTCTTAGCATTAAGAGAAAATTATGACAATCACGTAAAGTTGTGGAACATTGTGGCATTTGGCATTCTACGTCCTCAACCTGTGTTGGTTAGTTTGTAATCAACCAGAAGCATCTAAGGTCATCAGAGAATAGGGACCCTTGATTGAGAAAATGACTCAAAAACACTGGGTGGTAAACAGGTCTTCAGGAGCATTTTCTCAGACCTGATTCATGAGGGAGGGCTTAGAGGATGTGTGCCCCTGCACAGGTGGGTATGAGTTTTATAAGAAAGATACCTCAGAAATCCATGAGGAGCAAGCTAGTAAGTAACATTCCTCCATGGTGTCTAGTTGCATCCCAGCCTTCAGGTTCCTGCCTACTCTGAGTCCCTGTCCTGCCTTTCATTGTTGTACTGTAACATGGAAGTGTAAGTCAAAATAAACCCCATTGCTTCCAAAGATGACTTTGGTCATGGTGATTATCACAGGAACAAAGAGGACTCTCAAACAGAAGTTGGTTACCAGGTTCATGTGGTATTCATTTACCAGAGCTGACCACATGGCTTTTAGGTCTGTGAAAATGTCTAGAAACTTAGGTTAGATGACCTTAGTCACTGAGTCTGAGGATAATGAGCTGTCCCAGGAACTCGGAGGTCAGGAATGCTGACAGTAATGATGGAAGTCTGACTTCTGTGGTTTTAGGGATGATCCTGGGGCAGTTCCTGTGATATCTCATATAAGAACCTATGTTTTCCAATGTTATAGTGTGATTTATATCGTGAGATTAAGAGTATTTCAGAAGAAACAAGCCATGAACGGTTCTAGATTAATAATGTGGGGTGTGTGTGTGTGTGTGTGTGTGTGTGTGTGTGTGTAATGTTGGCAAGAGGTGAAGGGATCTACTTAGTTTCCATCAACTTGACAGAAGTTAGTATACACATCTGAGAAGGGGAAACGCCAAAGAAGAAAGTGGCTTTACCAGACTGATAGATATGTCTATGGAGACATCTCCTGATAACTATGGGTGTTGTCCCCTAGAGAGGTGGGCCGGGTTGAAGAGAGGTGGCTGAATAAGGGATGAGCACACAGTACACAGCATCTCTCCATCACCTCTACTTCAGTTTCTGCTCTGCTTCCCTTTATTATGGAACTGTGACAAGGAAGGGTAAGTAAACTAAACATGAGCTCCACCTCAGAGTTGCTTTCTTTCACAGCAAAAGAAAGGGAACAAACACAGAGCTTTCTATTCAAAGCCTCAAAAAGGTATACAGAATGATTCTAAATAAGTTTAAATATCACAGGAAGATTTTGTGTAGCAAACTCTTGGAAAAGCTCTTTCAGATTAATGTTCTATCACATGTTAGTGATATTCACAGATTATAGATGATACAGATTACACAACAGGGAATGAGATAATTCAGTGCTCTGCTATAGGAATTTGGGGTTAGATTCAATGTGCAATTAGACAGATATAGATCATTTAGTAGGTTCTCGGTCATCATCTCACTTGTAAATGTTAGATATAAATTGCTTCCTATTGAATATAATTTACCTCAGACTTCTGCAGAGATCTTTGTAGTTCTCTTCAATGTTTTGTTCTAGTCCTTTTTCTAAAATTAAACCCAAAGAATTCATTATAACATCTTCAATATTAAAAAAAATTACAATCCCACTCTTAAAACACGTGCATGCTCGCTAAATTCACCACATGTTCAATTCAAGGATTCAAATCACAAGGCTACACACACAAACTGGGTACAGTTGCTCTCTGACTGAATAAGCAATGGGAACAGGTTGTGTTTTTACCTATGAACATAAGGTTAAAAAGTGTCTCCCCCATCACATCTCTGTAGAGTGTCTTTTGACTGGAATCCAACAAAGCCCACTCTCCTGAGGTGAAGTTCACTGCCACATCTTCGAAGGTCACGGACTCCTGAAACAGAGCACATATTATATGGTTACCTGTAACTGCGGGCTGACACTATACAGAATCACTGAGCACTGCGGATTCTGAGGACACTTCTAAGTGATGATGTCAATAAAGGTTAATTCCGAAACACCTGTAGAATGCTATCTTGAGTTCTTATTGTAAGAAAGGCAGATGCACAGTCTCCGTTATGATTCTGCTGCTGAGATGAGAGCTCATGATCAAGGCAGCTATTATAAAATACATCACCTAATCTGGGCTTCTTTACCCTTTAGAGGGTTGGTCCATGATTACAACGACAGGAAGCAGACAGGCTAGAAGAGTGCCTGCATGTTTTACTCCTGGAAAAGGCAGAAGACAAAAAGACAGACAGAATGCCAGGAATGAGCTTTTAAACCTCAAAGAACACCCTGTGACATACCTCCTACACTGAGACAACATTTCCTAATAGTTTTCAATGAGTTTCACTAAAAACTAAGGTTTCAAATACATGAGCCTATAAGGCGAGGCACACACACACACACACACACACACACACAGACACACACTTGAGATGAAGCCCTTTCTGAACTATATAGGGATTACATTAATGGAAGGAGTGAGCTGAGAAACTACACAACTACACTATTTGTCATTGTGTGTGATGTGACCAGCCCCTCCACTGTTGTGCCTTTAATGGACTGTACCCTTCAGTTCTGCTTTAAGTCACATTTTCCATACTCATTTATGATAGCCAGATGAAAAGCCCAATACAAGAAGTAAATTAAAAAAAAAAAAACTTGAACCCCTGTTTAAGTAAAACCAACAGGTCCTCTGTTGGCATTAGAACTTGTTTTGGAAGGAACATGGAAGAACCGGCAAGAAAATTCTCTTTAGACAAAAACAAAACAAAACAACCCGAGAACACATAGAATGCAAAGCTGAATGAATCAGTCAGGGAGACGCTTACAGGACAAAACTGCTAAAACTAAATGCCTACAGCAGAGACAAGTGTCAGGAAGGTTCAGTGGGAAGCAAGGATTTTTCTGTACACCAGAGAGCTAGAAATGGACTTGAAAGCAAAGATTGTCAAGTCCTTGGTAGAAGAAAGGAATGTAAGCAAGTTAAAATTTTCAACAAGGAGGGCTACTATCAGAGATAACAAGATTAATAGGAGTCATTGGAACAAGTGTAGAGCAGGCAGCCGAGCACATGGAACTCCATTGGCATGGTCTCTTCACACAGTCCTCTCTGAACAATGAACTTAGGGATCTGTAGGTATCCTTCACAGAAGAATTATCTTTGGTGTGTTGTGTCTATGTCTGCTTTAAAAATAGCAACAAGTTACTTCTTTTAGTTATGCCTCAGTAACTCCTCATTGCCTTCAAATGCCTTTGGAAAACATAGGATAATATGGGAAATAAGCTGATTTGAAATGAAGTAGTTTGAGGTATATGTGCAATAGAGCAAACTGTTCTCAGGGGAATGCTCAAGAACTTTTCTTTTAATGTTTTCACAACTTCCTCTTCTAAATAAGTGGGCCTGCACAGTTCTATGGTGTAGGAGGTCTTTCTGTCTATGTGTTGCATTCATTGGTTAATAAAGGAACTGCTTTGGGCCTATAGCAGAGCTATAGGGGAACACAGCTAGGCGGGGAAAACTAAACAAAATGCTGGGAGGAAGAAGGCAGAGTCAGAGAGGGATGCCATGGAGCCACCAGAGTCAGACGTGCCGAATCTTTGCAGGTAAGCCACTGTCACGTGGACATATACAGATTAATAGAAATGGGTTGAATTAATATAAGAGTTAGCCAGTAAGAAGCTAGAGCTAAAGGGCCAAGCAGGGATTTAATCAATATAGTTTCTCTGTGATTATTTTGGGTGTAAGCTAGCCAGGCAGTTGGGAACCACAAGCAACCTCCCTCCAACAGTTCTAAATTCAGATGACTATGGGAAATGTATGCTCAGTTAACAAAGCTTACCAAATGTAATCCTGTTGGTTCAAACATAGAATCTTTTTGCATGCTATGTCTCTTAGCAACCAAATCCTTCTTCTTCCAAAGTCCCAAGTATGACTGATACCTTTGAATACCCTTTCTCATGAAGCCTGTGGACACCTTTCATCGCCTATTTTTGTCCTGTAGTACGTCTTTGCTTAGAATAAATTTACCCTTCTCTAAACTAGAATACCATGCCTAGACCCCAAAAACCAATTATAAATTTGGCAAACAGTCACCTGGAGGAAAATAAATTCTCCTCTCTAACTGTTATAAATTTCCCTAACTATTTTCTGCCCAATTTCCATTATGACTTATCAAGCCAATTAGTTGGGTCAAAAACAATCACCAACCTGAGGTTTCCATGTCTTACAATATAGGTTAATAGAGGATTCACCATCTCTACTTTGTTTTTCACCAGGGATGGATAAGAAATCAATAGAAAATACGAGAAAAGTAGAATAATAGGTGACCCTGCCAAATCACAACAATGTAGAACTCCTCAGTTTCAATTTAACACCGGTACTCTGGCCTAAGTCTCCAGCCATAAAGAACTCATGGGACGTGTTTAGATTTTCCCTTCTCTCTTGCTTTCTTTTTTTTCTGTGTGAATTAGATTAACATCAGTTGGAAGTAACTTATTTCTTATTAAATTTATACCACAACAGTTACATGAATAGTAATTGTCTATGTTAGTCAAAGCATTGGAGTCTTATAGAAGGCCACTGAACAAAGACACAATGGAAAAAACAGTATTATTATTGAGATGGAACCCACTTTCCCATAAATATTCTACAATGCACATATAAACATTTAAAAATCCCACAAGCACATTGGATTGTGTCAGTCAAAATTTGGGCAGAATGTGATTGGTCCTCAAGAAGGCCACCCCTAGCTAAGAAGGTATGGGCACCTAACATCTTTGTAAAGATGAAGAGTCATTTTTTTCTCAGAAATGTAGCCATCAGTAGGATGACCACACCCTTGGGATGGCCAAACACACTTGAATAATACTGACTGAACTTTGTGGATTATAAAACAAAATAAAACAAGTGGCAAAAGACACATTAAAGAAAGGTGTGCTGGGTGTGCTATTAAGGGTGACATACGATTAAAATATATCACTTACAGAGAGGAATTTACCAATAATAAACATGTTCAAAAGTTTTTTCGTCTTTTTGCAAGCTACTGGAGGCACGTGAGTGGTCAGCACCCATTCCTAAGGACCTCCAAAGGCCAGTCTCTTCCCATAGTACACTGTTATCTGCCATAAGGACCAGACCCAGCCCTGCCTCAACTTGATGTGCCATGCTTTCTTCAAGCCCATGGGGGAGGGGCTTCCCCTTTCTGAATGGAGACAGAGGAGTGGGTGGGGAGGGGGGAAGTGGGAGGTGATGGGAGGTAATAGATGAAAGGAGGAAGGAGAAACTGTGGTCAGTATGTAAAACAAATGAAAAAATTGTTAATTAAATAAAATTAAAAATAAAGTAGCTTACCGGTGGTGGCACACTCCTTTAATCCCAGCACTTGGGAGGCAAAGACAGGAAGATCTTTGTAAGTTCAAGGCAAGCCTGGTCTACAGAGTGAGTTCCAGGATGGCCAAGGCTGCACAGAGAAACCCTTTCTCAAAAAACTAAAAGAATAAAGTTGACAGATCCCTTTTACCCATTCAAACATAGAACATAAAATCATCTTTAGCTGATTTGTGCACACTACACATTCCATACTTATATTAATGCAGATATATATTCTACGATCAAAAGTTTGTATGTTTTCCGAATAAAAGGACCAAACATCAATGAAGACAATACAATTATCTCAGGTGATACACAAATGGCTCCGTTGCAGTTTTCTCAAAAATCTGCATCCAGAACAACTTCAAAGCAGCTAGCTGAGATGGTCTAGTCTTACAGACTACTTCATCCAGGACTTCACTACACAGAGACTGGACATAGAAATGATACAGCTAGCTCCCCAGGACTTAACCATTATCCAGTTCTCTCAGGGTTACCTCAAGATACCACTGCTGCCAAATGACAGGAAATAATTTTAAGAACATGACACTCACATCCCCAAGAGGTGGAATTAGTGGGTTTTCATCTTTTGGTGGGTTACAGATGCTTGTCATTGCAAGCTGTTATCAGTTATAGTCAGGGAGGAAACTAAACAATGGAGGTAAGATTAAAAGACTTCTTTCTTTCTTTTTTCTTCCTTCCTTCCTTCCTTCCTTCCTTCCTTCCTTCCTTCCTTCCTTCCTTCCTTCCACCCTTCTTTCTCTCCTATCTAGTGAAAAATAAGGAGGCAGGGAATATAGGAATGACAGGATAAAAGGGTAGATTACTGAATCTACTTTTATGCTTAAAAGCAACCTCTACTCTCAAATATTTTACACTGGTATGAATTTCCATATATCTATACAAATTTAAGGTTATTTTTGTTATAATGTACTGTACATAATGTTTCTACTCTTCTTTAAGGTATTGTAGTATGCAGCTCATTTTGAAATGTAATGTGGTACAGGAGAATTGTCTGTATTCTGTCAATCATATTTTAAATAAAAGCTGATTGGCCAGACAGGAAGTATAGCTAGGTCAACCAGACAGGAAGTAGAGGTGGGGCGATGAGAACAGGAGTATTCTGGGAAGCAGGAAGCTCCTTCCGCAGTTCCACCCAGACCACCGAAGAAGCAAGATGTGAGCTGCCCTGCTGAGAAAGGTACTGAGCCATGTGGCTAACACAGATAAGAATAATGGGTTAATATAAGCTACAAGAGCTAATAAGTAGTCTGAGCTAATGGGCCAATCAGTTTTATAACTTATGGAGATCTCTGTGTGATCTTCTTTGGGGCTTGCCAGCTGTGGAGAACTGGGCAGGACATAAACCCCAACAAGCAGGCCCCTTCATGTTACAGTAATGTAAAATGTAAAGTCCTTGAAAGCTATATTACAAACTGTTTAGGATTATTAAGAAATGCTGGTTAATAGTTATTCATCTATACCAATCTGTAGCGAGCAGCATGGTGTCACACCTG